GTGGGACGAAGAGATCCTTGGCTAGGCTCCAAGAGGCCAATAATCCAACAGACTGGAAAGTCTCAGCTGAAAGTGGAAAGTATATTGAGCTCAAGCCCTGATGACATCTGCGGAGACGCCAATCGTGATGTCCCATGACATTGTATCTGAATCACGAGTGATGTCTTAGTTGAAGGTTGAATGACTGTAAGCTTTTGCTGTTTGGTCTGGGTTTGGTTTTTGTTTTGGTTTTGTACTTCGTTTAAGTTTCCTTTTCGCTTTGTTGCGAGCCATGGAGATCAACATACAAATCAAGAACGTGCAGAAGCCCGAAGACATCGTCAGCACATTCGCTGCCCTTGGGCAAAACAACAGACCTCCACTACGATGGGGAAGACGAGAAGATGGGGCCTCTGCAGCAGCAACCACTGCAGCTACGCGAAGATCGCCAAGCTTGATTCTGACTGCTCAGGAACTCGAGGCACTGCAGCAGTCCCACCCTCAAGGTGCACAAAATCTCCTTTCCTCTACAGATGCGGAGGTCAGCGCCAGTGGCAGTGGAGCCAAGCCGAAGATGAGGCCATAACCCTTTTCTGCATTCCAGCGACCTCGGCGACCACATGAGGGGCACACCCTCTCCCCGGGCCCATATTATCGTCGAGGTGATCAGCCTGGCGCTGCAGACACAGGCATTATTCCCAGGCCTACAATGACACAGGCCCTCATGGATCAAGCAATGCCACCTCCAGCTAGACCCTTACTAGTTCGGCGACGGAAATCCAGGACCCCTCCGAGGAGATCTTCGTCCAGAACACCACCAACCAGAACACAAGCACCCGGAGCACAATCACCCAGAGCACAATCTTCCACCCCCACGGCACCCTTGCAGCTTATTCCTGGACCAAGGATGCGAGACTCGAGGTCGCCAACATCAAGACGACGGATTCGAGAGCGCCAGCACGCAGAAGACGGGACTCCAGGTCGCCTCCAGCTCGACGGCGATCTCGCACACCACCGGCTACGGCAGCAAAAGCCAAGTCGAAGCCATCATCCTCGTCATCCACTACCCCGCCTAGAGTGCCAAAAACAGGCAAGGACCTCTACATCACCCCGACACTGCCATCGGAGATCAAGTACATGGGACAGAGGCGGAGAAGCTACGCCAGAAACCATGCGCAGGTTCTACTACCTTGCAGCCCAGGACCTGACGTGCAAGGACCCTCCATTGCCTACCAAGGCGGAGGGGATTTTATCCTGGTGCCATGCTACAGATGTTGGAGCCCTCTGGAATATGCTTCAAAGCAGAGACATGCTCCCCATGAATGCCCACGGCGTCTCCCAGTTCAACTGCAACATCTTTTACGCGCTGGGCCACGAAATCTGCGGGGGCGAAACTGATGAGTATATAACATCGCCCGGCCCGGGTATTATACAATACCAACCGCAGCGCGAAGAACATGGCGGGCATCATCGTGGGAGGCAAAGCGTGGGGCAGCCTTCGCAAGCACTACGGCGGCTCGTTTGAGACTGCGCGCGCAGCAACGCAAGAGGACCAGGTCCTTAAGGACAGCAACGCCAAAGCGTTCTGCGTCAGCCGCAACCGCTACAGCTTCGACTACATCGCGTTTGAGCAGCTTGCACAGCCACCCTCCACTGCCCGGATCCTCATCAACCAATACCTCCGAGCCGCCAACATCCAGCCTCGAGAACGACAATTTCTGTTCTGACGTACAGTATTGCACATTGCATATGAGACATATTCGTCTGCAGCGGCATCTTTTTCTGCAACAGTCGCACCGGTGAGATTCGCAGCGTATGCCCATGCAGCCCACAAAAGTGTGTCAAGTTATGACGCCGTGATTGCAGGTGTTAAGGCCAGTGCCGTGCGGCTGAGTGCTCTAATCCTTTCCCTTGCCTTCCGGTAGCTTTTGTTGTTAAAAGTTTCGATTGCATAAGCTAGGTGCAACATGGCTTCGCAATGGAATGAGACGTGGGCGCCGAGCTCATGGGCGACAAATCAGTGGTGGCACAGCCGGCAGACTCCACACACGACCTCGACATGGACTTTGCCACCTCCTCCGCCGGCATCGTCAGAACCATCCTCGAGCCTTCCACCAGCTCCATGGCCGCCAACGCCACCCTCGCGCAACAATCCGGCAGATCAACAGACGGATCCTCGCCCAGCTCGCGTGCCCATTCCTTCATCCTTCAAGGAGGATGACGAGCACTACGACTCGAACTTGGTCTTCAAGTCCATGCTCAGGAAAACCGTTGAGCCCTCAGCGTGGAGCCGAGCCAAAGGACTCGCAGGCATGGATATTCGCGACGTTGCAGTTGCCCATCTCAGCAGACGAGGCATGGAGGAGTATGGACTTCGTCCTCTTTCTCATGGGCGATTTACAGGTGTCATCCTCACACGCAACGTGGCCGAGACGGTCCTGCTTTCACAAATACAAAAGAGGCTCCGTGAAGACAATGTTGACGTCGAGGCCACCATCGAGGCCATCTACAAGTCCAAGAACCTCAAGCCGCCAGACAAAGTCAAGGAAGCCACCAACTTCGTCACACCCTTGGTGGAAGAGATATTTTTGGCCATGAAGCCCTGGACACAGGTCAAGAACTATGGAAAGAACTCCGAGCAGGACAACCAGGTCGCGCAGCGCATGCAAGAGCTGGAGGAAGAGGCGGCCAAGTACGAGCAGCGGCTGAAGTCGGCAGGAATGGAAGTCACACCAACCAAAGTGCTACCCTTGCAGCCCCCACCTCCGGCTCCTTCTAACCCGGAACGACTCCCAGCAGACACCCTCACCACAGCACGAGGCACCACCAAGAGGAGTTCTCCCTGACAGCGTCCACGAGGATCCGCCACCCAAGCGACGTCGTACTCAGCGCGGAGATCGAAAGAAGCAGTACGAAACGTTGCTCGAGGAGCCCTTCAACGTCATCAAGCAGAGTGGGCAGCCACCCCCGACCAGCATGACCTCAATCAAAACATGGGTCATCAATCTCACGAAAACCATGCCTGCCGACAAGCACAAAGATTTGGACCAACACATCCAGCAAGTCCAAGCCCTACTCGACGAGGGCAAGCACACCAAGGTGCAACTGCAGGAGATGGCCACACGTTGGGGACTACCAATCTCGCTCATTACAGCAGCGGCGGCATCCCCCAGGACCTTGCAGCAGCATATTGCGGCAGTCACCTTCCTGGCTGTCTGAAAGATGCAAACTATTTTACACCCGCGCCTTATGCACCAGGACGGCGCCAAGATCTTCAGACAGCTACAACGGGTGGTGGACTGGGCGCAGTTTTTGCTTTTCTATGTTCCTGCAATAAGTAATAAAGATGTGCTTCTTTGGCTTGTAGGTCTGATTCATTTAGTCTTTTTCTATTTCACAGAGCGAAACCAGCCGCTGCAACGACGCAGCTCCAAGACTCAAGACCGACTTCGCGAAAAAGGTGTCGTGCCTGAGCTCTACACGTTCAGCCGATTTGAACAACCCTGTGCAGTATATGTCACAAGCTAAAATTCCCCAAGCTCAACAATTCCGGTTACCCTGAGACTAGCAAAGACACATCGTTTTGCTACATCCGATCCACCAACCTCACCGTGGCCAAGAGNNAAGAGAGAGTACAACAGAGTTGCCAAGTTGAAGCAGCTCAAGCAGTTAAAATTGCCCAAAACAGAAATAGCCATCCGATACTGGCACGACAAGCAGAACTACGAACACTTCAGTACCCTGCTTCTTTCGCAACATCAGGAGTATATTGATGCATGGGCGGAAGAACACTGTCTTATCCAAAGATGGCAGCCCAAGCTGAATTACCCCTTCGTCACGAAAGAGCTCGTCAAGAAGGCTCATGGGTTAGCGCCTGCTAGACAACAACCTCACCTACAAAAGCCGCCCGACACCTTGGCCAAGCAGTTGTTTAAAAAGATTCGCAGACGACTTCAAGGACAATTTAAAAGCGACAACTACTCAACACTCTACCCAAGCAAGCGCAGTTCTGGAAACTCCTCTACGCCATTTCCATTAGCCACATGGAGCAACCTTGGCGGTCTAAGGCCAGAGCCAGACTCCGGCGAGTGCTTACATTCCGGAACGCCACTGTGCCCAAGTACAACCTGCCCCTCAGGATTCCCTTCCTCGCCCACAACGACTTCAAGACCAACGTGCAGGAGTTTGTAAGTTTGTCACCAAGCTCATCCGGCAACATCGGCACGTCCTTACCCCTCACCACCTCCCGACCAAAACCGTCCAGGAGATGCCACACGCCGCGCTCAACAAGGTCCTGTGGAACCATATGCGCCAGGTCACAATGCAAGGACGACACTGGAAGCCGGAGCCATGCCAATGCCACGAATTCCTGCAAGAACACCCCAGAGCTGAGCATCACGAAGGACACGTAGCCACAGGCTTGGAAACGCTTGAGTTTCGCAAAGGCCAGTCCAACCTTGGAGAAGTCTTCGCCAACGTTGGTGCCTGCAACGCCTTCTTCCCATGCATCCAAACGACGCCTACACGACCAAATTCTCAGCCAACTTCGCGGATGGCTCAGGCACCACTTATTTCCCAACGACGACCGCATCATGGAGAACTTTGAGTCGTTCTTCGAGGAGCAGTGGGGCCGACATAAAGAACAACAGCGACGTGAGCCTCGACTCACACATCGACTCGTCAAGCACCTTGTATCCGTATTGCCTCGCAATTACATTATTCACAACGAGGACCATGCCAACGCCCACCTCATGATCTACTGCCCCAATGTCTACAATCAGGCGGCGTTCAACACCTGGATGGACAAGAAAACGTTCCTCCTCTTGGACAAAAGCCCCGAAGACATCAAGACAGATATGGAAAGACAAACACCCGCAGCGGTTCGCAAGCACTACAAAAAGCTCCTCGACTACAACAAGCCCATTCCGTATGGTTACATTATGATGAAGCGGAAAAAGCAGTGGAGCAAGGGCCGCACGATCATTGCCTACTCCAACACATGTGTTGGCCGCCTTCTTCGCGTTGCTGCACTGGCGCTACAACAAATGCTCAAAGCTACATGGCCACACCACTTCGGGAACATCGCAACTCCTCAGCTATGGCAGGAAGTCCACCAACTGTTTCGGGCCAACGAAGAACAACCTGAGCGGGAACTTATATTCCTCAACCACGACCTCGTTGGCTTTTTCAACAGCATCCCCCAAGCTGACATTATACAAAGCGTCCACTACCTCATCGCAGAGTTCTCCAAAAGCAACAACGACGTTCTGCTAATCGACCCCCACAGCAAACTCAACCCCGTTCACTCAGGCAA